TCGCCATACCCACACAATTCTCCACAACAACTGATTTTTTTCTGCTACACCCGGCTACGCTGCTTCGCTTCTTCTTCTACTTGTTTACTACTGGCGGTTGGCTTTGGTCGCAGTACCGCCACCTTCTGCTCTGGAGTGTAAATGCTTCGCCTATGAGAAAAAGGAGCAGCGCATGAACCGAACGCAACACACGCGAACCGAACCGAGACAGTCGAACCGAAAGGTTTTAAAAAAACTGTTCCATCCCTAATATATATATATATATATAATATATATATATATATATATATATATATATATATATATATATATATATATATATATATATATATATATATATATATATATATATATATATATATATATATATATATATATTTTTTTTTTTTTCTAAATGGGCAAATTTTTCTTTTTAAGCTAATTTTTTTCTAGAAAATTTTTCTTTGAAGATTGATGGGTAAAGATCTGGATTGGTATAGTACAGACTGTACTAGCAGCTATAAATGTGATTGTCTCGAATGATATCTTGTTTTATTGATTTATTCGTCATAAAGTTGCATCCAGGTGCTTCGTTTTTTTTCTCAGATAAAACCCTGACGTCACAGCGGTGATTCCAGCCTTTTCCCACAGTCCATCCACTCTGATATTCACCATGAAACTCCTCTCATTTCAATGTTATCATTGTATCAGGGTTAGGCGATAAATTTATTTCATTAATTAATCAGAAACAGATTTACTTTTTGGAAAATCTTGATTTTTCTTTTCTTTTTTTTACCATTGAACTTCACGGGCTTCCATAGTTCAGGCTGATGTTCGTTCGTCGCTTTTTGTTCTTAGATTGATACCGGTAACCTATTGTGTAATATCTCTAGCTGCAGCGTTTGATGTGTTAGAGTTTGATCGTTTATTACCGCAGGGCCTGCCAACTGGATTTACAAGAATTTTTCACAGTTTGGATTTAATTGCACTTTGAAATCAGGTCATTTTCAGAAGGAGTAATTGAAATAAAAGGTTTATAACATAATTTATGTAATTTCATTTCAAGAATCTAAAAGAAGGGAGAGTTTAATTTAATCTGATTTGTTTTGTAAAAATCCAGAGAGTTTATTTTTATGCCGTATTACTGGGCTCTAAATCGAGCTGCCAGGACGGTTCATGTTGAGTTTCTGCAGATCACCAAGTGCAGCCCATCATTTTGGGATTTTATTGATTATGTCCCAAAGGGTCTTAGGATCAAATTTCACCTTAAATATGTGAATTAAAGCAAGTTCAGCTTCCAAAATATAAATTAGAAATACAATTGTTTGTATTTGTATTACAGAAAATCATTGAGGACAATTTTTCAGGTGGAACCACTATTTTAAATGTAACCAAGTCTGATTTTATATGTGTTTAAACAAAGAAGAAATTAAAAATATTTATCCTTGCCTAATTGTTTTACCGAAATAAACTCTGCAAAACGCCATGAAAGCCTATTAGAAACTCTGGATGAACCTCAGACTTTATAGATCCGCATCTTGACTATAACTGAAGCTGATTTAGACTGAATAAGTTGAAGCATATTTGTTCCACAAAGGTTTTTTTGGGCAGTGTGCTTGGAGGTATTGTGATTTTGGCTCAATACCAAAAGAACAAAAATGTATTTTTCCACTCATAAAAGGGAATCTGGTCAGACAAATATGCTGATTTACTTTATTGGAGACCTTCTGCATAAGAAAAAGCCTTTGCTGCTAAGATTGAGTCGTTGTTTCATTGAAATTTACCAATAAAATCACCAAACTGGATAGAAAATAAGAATAACAGAGCAAGCTTATGTAACACATGCCGGCTACATCACCTGAAATGGTCGCACAATGACCTCTGACCCCTCATTGGAAAGGTCTGAGCCTCTAGTTTCCAATGATGGCAGCCATGCGATAGCCTCGTGAGACCATCCCGATCTCGTGAGCTTTCAAGGTTTCACTCGCAGATCAGTCTGGAGACTCTCCGTTAAAGAAAATTTGGAGCCGTTCACCAAACGAACGTCCAATCAGCGTTGGCTTTGAGGCGGGTTGAGGTGTGACGCAACGAGAACCGCGACAGTTCAGTCTAAAGAACATGGCGGCTTCAGCCGATGAAACTAGCGTAAGCGTGGCTATCGAGCAAGTTTTATGGGAATTACAGAGTATTTCTTCACTGGAAGAAGAGCAAAACACTGCTCTGGAGGCTTTTCTCAGAGGAAAAGATGTTTCTGCTCTTCTCCCGACTGGTTTTACCAAGAGTTTGATCTATCAATTGGCTCCTCTTCGTCGTCGCTCTTTTAGTACGTCATATGCTTCGTTGATCTGATTGGTTTATTTGGCCCGTCTATCACCAACATAGGCCAATCAGCTAACCAGTATTTTCGCCCCTTCCCAAAATTACTTCAACGGAAGGTTTCCAGATATGCGGAGCAAATCCATCTGGGGGAGTCAGGTTAAGCCATTAGGGGGCGGGGCTAAAAACAAATATCTGCTGTTGCATTACTCCCACAGAGTCACACACATCAGGTGGAATTTTTTATCTAATTTTATTTGTTTACACAGCTATTAAACACAAAGTAATTGTGGAAAAAAATAATTTTGAAACATTTTTGTTAGAAATTTTAAAGCCCCTTTTGAAAGGCGTGTGGATGAAACACCATGTGACTGTTTGGGCCATTTCTATGAATAGATAAACATGAGCAGATGTCAGTTGGGCCCTGTACTGTACCAGCCCCGCCGGGTTTAAGGGGTTAAAAAAGATGATAAACCATTAAAATTGTGATGCTTTAGAACAAAGATGATTATTTATCCCACAGGAACTCCAGAAACCTGCATTAATTTAATATAAATATTTAAATGATTTATGTTTTGGAGATAATTGTTGTTTTTTTTCTCTCTCTTCCTGACAGTCTGTCTGTCAACATGTCATTATCACCTTTGATCACAATGTAGCGATACGGTGGTGCAAGTTTTGATTTGCTGTGGTATTTTGTGGTTCGAGAGCTAAAAAAAGCACCAAAAGCTGTTTGTCCAGGTAGTTTATGATTCCCAGATGCACACAGGAATGATTCAAGCTTTAATCTGGGTTAAATTACTGAAGAGGCAGGTGACATCCTATGATTCAATAGCAAACCAGGCTCCTCCCCTTTCTGCCTGTTCTCACTGTTCAACGATAAAAGCAGAACGTCTAAAATGAAAGAAACGGGCTACTACTGTGGCATGTTGAGATCAGTCGATTAAAGAACTCTCCTTGGATGTTTACTCTGTTTTTGCATACGAGTTTATAGAAGCAGTAAAAACCTACACATCAGGAAATGAGAAAATCCCTAGTCCAAAATAGATATTGTGAACAGACCTAGAGTATCAGCAGTTGATGTGAAAGTGACATTTTTAAGCTGAAAAAATGTCCCTGAGGCACGTCGCTGTGTGAGTGGGTCAGAGAACCTTAAATGGCATGCATAATGAAGGTCGCAGGGTCGGGTCGTTACATCACATTTAGAATTTATTAGACTTCTCATAATGGTGGAATGTCATTTCCCTTTTCAGGAGGAAACAGCAGAGCCTCAGTCTCTGTTGAAACACCAGAAGCAAAACTGATCCAATGATTGGAATCTGCTAGAACAGGCAGAAAGATCTGGGTCCGTTTCATTAAGCAGGGAAACCTGAAAACAGGGAAACTGACTTTCACAAAGAGTTTACTCTACCTGTTTTAGTCGACCATCAGCTAACCCACAGCTAACCTGGTCAGCAGCAGGTTTTCTTCTCTCCGCTCTCCTTACAGCCAATCACGCTGTTTTATTTCCTGATTTAGCCCAAATTTTGTTGTAGTCTTGTGAATAATAAAAAATATATATCTATCAATCACTAGGGCCATTTCTCAATACGTGTACTTGTGCGTTCTCGTGCTTGTGTCCTCGTGAAACATCATAATACTCAATACTAGCGCTGTTCCAATTCACAAAACAGCAGGCCGAGAACAGACAAATTCCCCGCATGTTGTTCTGCCCCCTCCCTCTTTACCCAGCATGCATCAGAGCAGACTTGTCCGTTCTCCAGTCTGACATCTGTCCCAGCATGCACTGCGGCAGCAGCAGCTTCCAAAAAACCTAAATATTTTACCTAAAACGAAGAGGGGAAATGGGAAAAATGTAGCACCATGGAGCCCTTTAGCGTCGTGTCTGTCGGTGAGGAAGCCACAGTGGAAGGCGTGGACTGACCACAACCCCAAACATGTGTCAGGTCTAAGCACCTAAAACATCATACATACATGCAGGGAAAGAAAGAAGGCACAGAGACAATTAATTTAGTTTTAGCCGCGAGGAGAGCAGGAAGAGACTGCAGAGTTTACAACCTCCACCTCTGCAGTCCCAGCGTTCTGCTCGCTATTTATTAGAAATCAGGCGTCCCTTGTTACAACAGCTGAGACTGCTCTAGAGATGAGAAACATGAAAAATTCAGACTTGCAGTCTCAGTAAACATCCTATAAATTTCAGGGTTCAGTCAAAGTTTAAGCTGTTGAAGCTTAAACTTCAACAGTCTGGTCTGTTCCAAACAGAGAGCAGAACGTTAGAGATTGAACTAACAGATTCTGCAGAGTGGGAGAATAGAGATAGAATGAAGCAGAATGATGAAAAAGGGGTCCCTATGTCCTCCAGCACTCTAAGCCTATAGCAGCATAATGGTGGAATTTTCATGCATTCTGAGTTATTATTTCTAAAACACTTTAAAACGAAAATTTATTGAGGATTGTTTTGTCATAGATTAACTTTCTATAGAATATGGTTCCTGTTGTTTATACAATAGTGAGGAAGGTGAATGGTTGATGGCTGCCAGCGTGGCATTCTTCCTATGCTGTCGCTCAGTGATGCAACCTTCCCAAAGCTGCTGGATCTGTGTCAAAAATGTAAACAATGCTGATTATGTTCTTATGCAAACAAGACTTTCCAGAACTTGCTGAATGTCCGGCTCTCATGTTTCCATCTCCTCTTCCTCTTGCAGGAGGCAAACCCACAGGCGTTCTGTGTGGAGAACCATCAGCCCCCCTGAGAAGAGGCATCAACCATGGCGCCAATCACCATGGAGAGGCTCCCTCCACAGTAAGACCTCCCCCATCCATCATGTGTTTTTATGGGCTAAACAGTGTATAAGGAATCTCTCTGTACGCTGGAATCTGAACTTAATGCTTTTTCAATTAGACAACATGATAAATAATAATAATTTAACTTTATTGATCTCACATTGGAGAAATGTACCTCTGCATTTAAACCATCCCCTCAGGGAGCAGTGTGGGGTTAAGGGTCTTGATCCGGGACCCAGAATGAAGGTCAGAGGTCACGGATTAGCAGACCGCGGTCCGGATCCGGATCCACCTGCTGGCTAATCTGGACCCAACCTGATTTAAAACATTTATAAATTACAGCATGTTGTCCGACAGTGTCTAACTTCACTTGCGCCTCTTCTCCTGTTAATACGGTAAAGCCCTGTGGAGCGTCCGGCTCCAGGCTGCACGTGATCCAAATGAGCCAATGAGCTGTCAGTCTGGGTTGCTGCTGCTGCTACTTTTAGACCCAGCAGGCAAACCTGTGGCAAGCCGGGCGATGGGAAAGAAGGAGAAGACCATGAGAAAAAGAGAGCAGAGAAAGTGTGGACTGCTGGAAGAACTGCGGTGAACTGGTGAAAGAAAAGTGAAATGGCGTGCTCAAAGATGACCCTGCACATTTAGAGGATGTTTGGCTCAACCTGCTGCTGTGAAGCAGGATTCTCCACCATGAACAGAATCAACAATAAATCTGGATCCAGGCTCAAAATGAGCTCCTTGATCTGTGCTTGAGAATGGCTTAGTCTCCGGTTAAACCCACCTGAGTGAAGTTGCCCCCCCCCCTCATTCTTCAAATCAGACAAAATTATTGTCAAACGTTTGTGCAGCAAAAATGTTCGTTTCTGCTGCTATCATTTTAAAGATATAAAGAAATATTTTTAGAGGTCATCAAAGGTCAGTGAAAATTTGTTTGTTCTGAAACTCTAAATTTCATATAAATAATACATTTCTCACCTATGATTACATCATTTTAAACTAAAAAAATTATAGCGGGACAAACAAAAATTCTTGCTGCACAAACCAGTAAAAACGTAGCACACCAATTTTGTCTAATTTGAAGATGGTGGGGGGGCTGGTTGACCTTTTGACCTTTACATTTTCATTAATATATTCAAATCCAAAGCAGCACAAACGCCAATTTTTGCTGCACAAACGGAGCCGAGTTAATTGACACCCATTTCGTCTGATTTGAAGAAGGTCGGGGGGGCTGGTTGACCTTTGATGACCTCTAAAAACATTTGTTTTTAAAATGATAGCAGCAAAAACGAAAATTTTTGCTGCACAAACGTTTGACACTAATTTTGTCTGATTTGAAGAAGGTGGGGGGGCCAACTTTACTTTTAAAGCCTTGCAGGGCAGCCTAAAGCCCACTGCCAACATTAAGACAGAAAAAAGAAAAAGAACAAACGGTAATTTGAGGTGTTTTATTTAAAAAATAAAAAAGTGACTCTGAAAATGTTCTGTATACCAAACTGAACGATTGTTGTTCTCTGCTTAAAAAAAAAAGATTTTAAAACGTAAAAACTAAATCTGTTGGGCTCTTTTTGGCATCAAGACAATTATTCTTATTGCCACATTGCCAGACAGGACACTGTTAAAAAAAAAAAAAATAAAAAATAAATACGGAAAAACTTTCAATTTTTTATGTTTTTTATTTAAAAAGTCAATGTATATCATGTATGCAGAAACGCATGCATTTTATTTCAGTGTTACTTTCTGTTTAAAGTAACAGATTAAAATAAAAAATGTCTCTAGACCTTTACTGGGTGATTATTTTCTTTATTCGGACCCCGCTGGGTTTTAATTACCGCTGCACGGGGCCAACGCTCCCTATAAGGTTGTGTGAATTTGTGCAACAGGTCAGTAACCGTAGAAACAAAGTCTCATTTTCCAGCGAAAGGAGCCTGGAGATTAAATGAAATGCATCAAAGCTGTAAAAAAAAAACATATGTCTTAGAAACTTGAGTAGGGTTCATAATCATGAGTGAGAATAACAAAGAAAGGCGTCCTTCATGCAGTGATGAGAAAAAAATTCCTTTGGCCCGCCTGGCCGAGCAGCTGCAGCAGAAACGGCGACAAACGGCGCTCCGCTGTCGAGCAACACGACGGAAAGTCTGCTTTTCTGGTCCTCCGGAGAGGCCTGCTCCACCGAGGGAGAAATCATCCCTAAGATTGAAGACGTGATGTCATCACTAGAGCAGCTGTTCTAGTGATGTCCTCACCGGGTAAAATTTCTATGAAGGGTTGAAGACCTGTGAACCGATGGCTGGAGCTCACGGCCTAATCTGCTGCAGGTTACGGCGATCAATCCAGGATTCTGATGAGTAATTTAATAAGTTCTCACCTTTTGCTTTATTATTGGCACCGCCTTCGCAGTAACCGCTGTTTCTCTCCATTCTCCCCCTCACACCCGTCCGGGTATACACATATCTCAGCCTGACGTCTAAAAGTCAACTTAGTCATGTCTTATTTATACATCTGCCTCTGTTTTTAAATTAGATTAGATTAGATGAGCTTTATTGGTCTCACAGCGGAGAAATTCACTCATAACATATTGGCATAGAAGTCAAAGAAGGTGCAAACAAGGAGGAAAAGGTGCATTAAGAATAAGCAGTATATATACAGTATATCAAGATAAATAAGGATTAAGGTGCAAGTGTACCTGTATCGCACACAATGAAAAACAAAATAAAAATAAGAAATAAAAATATGTACAATCCGGATGGCTTATATACAGGTGGATTTACTTTTACGTTAAAGTGTAGTAGGTGAGGAGCAACGGTGAGGTAGTGGTATGACTATTCTATTCACGTATATTGCACATTCAGCATATTGCACAGAATATTGCACAGTCAATAAATAAATAAAAACTATAATATAGCTGCACAGTGATTTTTACAGGAGTTATTGTGGTTATAGTGCATTATTATAGAGTCTGGTGGCAGCAGGAATGAATGACCTGCGGTAGCTCTCCTTCTTACAGACATGGTGTCTAAGTCCCTTACTAAATACACAAGTTTTCAGAAAGTCTGCATCTAAAAGGCTTCTGTTGATTCCTGGAGCTGTTCGGGTTTTAACCCTTTATAGGTCATTCAGTGAAATACTTTAAAAGTCAACATTTCCAGCCAATAGTGTCATTGGAATCCAGGACAAGACCTTGTTACCTTTATACCATTAAAAAAATATGGATATTATGGTGGCAAAAATGAATTTAAATGTAATGACAAGAAACGCCAACTTGTCTGAATATATATTAAGAAAAATAACAAAAGTGCTTCTAGAAGAAATTCATAAAAAACACTCGGAGTGAAAGAAACACATTTTATTTAGTCCAACATAACCTTAGAGGCATTAATGCTGATACTGGCACTGACATGCTTTAGTTTATAAACCTAAATACAATTGTTAATGAAGCTTTTTAACTTTACTTTTTAACTTTTCAATTAGCTTTTTACGTTTTTTTCTCAGCTTTATTTCCAGTAGGTAATCTATCATTCAAAGGCTCATCTAATTGGTCAAATGCCAAAATCAGATGTACAGCCATGTAGCAGGATCTTTGCTGAATGGATGGATATAGATCTTGTGCTTCTAGACCTCACTGAGGGACGGGGTGGTGGTGTTTTAGAGGAGCGATCATAGCGCTCTGCATCAGCAGTGCTGTGTCTGACTCCCTGCCAGCTCCCAGATCAGCTTCTCTGATTGGTTGATGAGGCGCGTCCAGCAGCAAAAGCTCAAATTTTCCAACTCCAGCAGCTGCTGCTTGTAAATTTCAATCATCTGAGCAAAGTTTCCGTGGGAGAAACAGGGCGTAGCAAAGCTTCTTTATTCTGCTAAGCTGCCAGTTGCTTAATCTCTCTCTGACTGGAATGACGGCTGCTGCTGACTGTAAAAGAAGCTGCCCGAACAGGTTGGAGTTTCTTTAACCAGTTACAGCATCAAAGCGGAGATTTTATCCCCATTCCTGCTCATCTGTTGAGGCTTAAAAATACGATCTTTATCTTGATCTATTTTTTGTTTCCTTAAAGAATTTTTTAAAAGCAACTCAGAAACAAGGCTTTGCTCCAAATGTCTCACATTTCAATTAAAGCTGTAGATAAACACGATAAAGGACTGAAATATAAAACCTCTGGCCTCAATAATAGTGACGTGATTAAAACATTTTGATATAAACAATAACGCCTCATTTTATTTCTCTTAAAAACAAAAAACCTTTACTTATTAAAATCTCAACACATTTTCCCAGTCTTGTACGATTTTTCGGGCCAATTCTACAGTTGTGCAAGAATTTTTCTGATCGAGCCGACTTTCAGCCAAATGGTGCGTGGTGTCGTTTACGGGGGTAACGAGGGGCGATGAGCCTCTAACGACCTCCTCCCCATCAGGAATCGTAAAGTTGGTAGAAAAACAAACATGTTTGAAATTCAGTCGGCCGTCGTAAGGTGGTCGTGGGTAAATCCTGCTGTTGAAGCAGATCTGCGAACCGATTTACCAGAACCTCGCACACTTCATATGTCCAAGCAAGGGAGTTCTTCTTTTTTTTCCCAGATTGCCCAACCCGACCAGCGGCGTCTCTCGGAGTACAGTGTGAGCAGGTAGATCGCATCAGAGCGTCGGGCCGCATAGTGTGAGACCAAACATCGTGAGCTTTGAACTTTAAAACCCGACTGAAACAACTGAAAGTATCGCAGAATGTATGCTCGGCCTAATGCTGCGTTCACACCGGGCGCAGCTGGCGCGACAGAAGCAGCGAGTTTACATGCAAAGTCAATGGTTGACGCGCGTCAAGGCGCAGCAAAAGGCCCCACAGCGCATTTTGACCAGCAGTTGAAGCAGCGCGTCGGGCGCGTTTAAGCATCTGACGCGCTGCTGCTTGAGATGGAAAAATTTAACTTTTGCTGCTCGACGCGCCGCGTCAACCAATCAGAGAAGCTGATCTGGGAGCTGGCAGCGAGAGAGACACATTGCTGATGATACAGAGCGCTGTGATCACTACTCTGA